ATTTATTTATTTTACTATTATATTATCAACACTTACTATTTATATACGCCCCCACAGATGGGCAGGAAAACTATGAACAAATAAAATATTCTCCTCCTTTAAAATAAAGTAAATAAAGGGTGGATACCAAATGATGAACCAACATACTCCCTCCGTCCCAAATTATTTGCCACATTTGTATTCTCGAGGCAAAATATCAAATTTTTTAAATTTATTTTATTTACATATTGGTAAAGAAATAAAAAATAAAATTTACATATAAAAAAACTACATGAAAAGGTCTTCGAAATAAGAGGTGTCAAGAATATTTTATTTTATCAAATAATCAATGAAAATGTTGAAATAAACAAAAATTTCCGACACTGCTGAAAAAGCAAATGTTGTGAATATTTAGGGACGGATGGAGCACAACAATTTATCATTCTCAACAAAGTCATCGTGGCATCGGATAGCATCATAAAACTAACAAAGACCATGAACAATTATAAATAATAAATAAATACGGAGTAATTATTTTTACAAGGTAAAACAATCACGGTACGTTACCAGCTCATGTCATTAATAAATACTATTACGTGGTCATAATAAACCTTCCTTATAGTTTACCTTTCAAGTTCTAATTATTTTTAGACCCATTTAAATGAATAAATAATTTTTAATTATATTTATTTTTTATTTATTTTGACTATGATTATTATATTAAGATGGTAATAAACGTTTTATGGTATTTTTAATAAACGTTGTTTTATGGTATTTTTCGTTGCCTTTTATGTTTTACACTAACTATTTTAATTCTTCATTTAATATTTATTTATTTACTATTTTATTTGAGTAATGCTAGAGTCACAAATAAAATATTCACAAAATTCACAAACTTGCCTTTTTAAGATTTTAATATAAATAAGATGCATTTAAATGATAAAAGATATTTTAATTTAAAATCTACAAAAGAAAAATTTATAAAGTTTGTGAACTATATGTTTACTTACCATTACAGTAATTCTCTATGTATCATGTTGTTTTAACACTTACCATTTTATTTAGAATTCTCCATTTATTTATAACATTTATCTACTTACCATTACCGTATTCATCCCCATTTAATTAGAATATTTATTTATTTACCATTTTGTATTCCTCCAAGTACAGTGCTGCAAAGTTAACATTTAATTTCGGACTATTATTATTTTTTATAAATGGTACCATTTAATAATGCCACTTGTTAAATGGTAACTAACGATCCTGACATTTTTACTCATTAGTTACGTTACCATTTACATGGTACGTTTTACGCGGTCACAGTTATACACGTTTCCATTTATATTTATTCATTATTATATTTATAGTATACAATATTTATGAACAATATTTATGTTACAAATTATGCTCATGATAAACTATAATGGGAACATAAATAATTACACATGGTCAAAGTTCCATTTAATTATATTTATTTATTTATTTATATATTTATGTATTTATTTATTATTTTGTTTATTAATTTTAGAAATGGGACGATTTAATTATGTCACATTTTAATAAAATTGCACCATCTATAAAAACAATAACACGGGCAATCTGCCATTTAATTATATTTATTTATTATTAATTTCATACTATTATTATTATATTTATAAATTTATAAAAATAATAATACGGACAAACTATCATTTAATTATATTTATTTATTATTGATTGCAGACTATTATTATTATTATTATATTTATAAATGGTACCATTTAATAACTTCACCTATTAAATGGTAAATAACGATCTTGACGTTTTTACCGATGAATTATGTTACCTTTTATATATGTTTTACACATTAATAATTCTTACCATTTGAAACATGTAACCTTTATTTAGTTTACGATTTTATTGTCAACATTTACCATTTTAAAAATTTACTCCATATAAGACTAAAAAGTTCTACGTTTCCCTAAATAAGACCAAATACTCCGTATATTTTATTTTCTATATGACACATAATTCCATATATATGATCTGCGATATATGTTTTCATTAGCAACAAATGTTGGATAATGACAGATAATTATACGAATGACTCTACGAATGTGGTCATTAGTAATAAATGTTAGATAATGATTGATTATTTCAATGACTATTTAAATTGGTTTTAATAATGTTTTATTTTATTTAAATTGTGTAATATTTCATTTTTCTCAAAGACATGATATTTTAGAATTTTCCATTACCAAAATTAGAATAGATAAGAGAGGAATGTTGCTTCATAGTTTTCCCACACATATGTGGGGTATATAAATAGATGGACACCAAGTGATCAACCAAGACACACCAATTCATCATTCTCACATAAGTCATCACCATCGTATAGCATCATAAAATTAACAAAGACTATGAAGAATTACGGTCCAATTGCCATTGTTTTCTTGGCATTGTTTTGCACCATACTTCCCCTATCTCTAGGTATAAATCTTTTCAAACTACATGCATGATTTTTGTTTAATTCTTTTCCAATTTAATACTCCCTCTGTCACTGAGTGTCTGTCCACTTTCATTTTTGCATATCATCCAATGCACTTCTTTAATCCATTTTATCTTGTAATTTGTATATTAAAAAATTATAAAAATTATATATTAATAATTTATATGTTAAGACAAATCAAACAAGATCACACATGACTATTTTTAGGCTTACACATTGAGAGAATTTGATGAGTCAAAGTGCTTAGATGAACAGTTCCAAAAGTCCAAAGTGGACAAACACTCAGGGACGGACCAAGTATAAATGTTCATTATTATATTGTTTTACATGCCTGTTTTCTCCATTTCAATTCATTAAGACCCATAAATTTGTGGTTATTGAATTACTAGCGATCGATCATATAATACTTCGTTAAAAATTTTGAAAAGATTATATAATTACACCGTTTAATATCAGCATTTCCAAAATTAATACTATGAATCACTATAAAAAGAATTCAAAACTATAATATGCTGATTGACTATTTTTTTATTTTTCATTAATTTTTGTTTGTTTTTTGGTTTAGGTGGTAGCGTCAAGTTTTGTCCCGCAAGTTTCACCACGCCCGGCTCATGTGCCACTGTTGTTAGTTGTCAAGATTTGGCGAGGTTTCATTGGCCCGCAAGTGCATTGCCTCATGGGTGTTCTTGTTCTAACAGTGGAACAAACCAAGCTCTCTGCTCCTGTCAAATTGTTTGTTAAACACTTATGAATGTTTTTCAATTCATTTATATCTTTTTTCTCATCACTAATTATTTTATAAAATGCGGATGATTAATTATTCAAGAAAAGTATTGAGTTAAAACAAGTTGTTCTTTTCTTTTGTTGAATTGGATTCTTCTACATGTTTGTTAATAATGTTTGTTTGGCATCAGTTTCAATGTTTAACTTTAATGTCTTGAAAAAGTTATGTATCAAACGTGTTTAGCGTTTTAAAATTTAATGTGAATTATTAAAAAACATTACTCCGTATAACATGTTATTCTGAAATGTAATTATGTATGATAAATATAAAATAATCTTATATATCCAAATTTAATTTATACTCCGTAACATGCTAGATCAAACGCAAACATTGATGAATTCTTTTTTTATCAAACATTAGAATTTTCTTACAAATATATTTGGGTGATCATTTAATTCAGTGGTTTTTTAACATTGAAATTTTCTCTCAATATTTTCCAACTCCTTTCAACTTTTTTTAACTCTTTCCAATTTCTTCCAACTTCTTCTGACCTTGTTTCTTCTAACATCCAACTATAAAATTTCAACCCAAAAGAACATGCAGAGCCTAAGTCGGATTTTTTAAAATTTATTCAAAGAAAAGAAAAAAAATATTTTTGCGATGCAGTTAATATTCTTGTTAAAAAAAGACTTTTCATAAGTATATATTTCTGAGTGGAGAAAATTGACAAGAAGCAAATTTGTTAACTAGAAAATATATAGTTAAAAAAGGACAAAGACTTGATCCGTTAAAAAGAATTGTGTTTCTTTCAAAGATTCGAGTGACATTTTTAAACATAAGAACTTGTGAGTTGTTAGAGAGTTCAATGAGTCAATTGGCATGTTGAATTTTTGGTTTGTTACGGAACTTCAGACATAAATTCAAAAGGGTTCATGAAATTATTTTTTCAAAATAATTATGGAGAATTAATCTCCAAAGTAAAAAGAATGTTTCGCTATATTGTGCCTCAAAAATGGATTCGAACACTTGGAAAGAATAAAAGCCCATGTATCCATATTAGACTTGAGATCTTTCATCTTCCACCATTTATATGTCACCATTGAATTGTATGATAAAGTAATTTGAGCAGGAGGAAAGAATAGACCCATCTTGCACCGCCGCCCCCACCGTTGGCGTGTGGCGTGTGCACAACGCGTCATGTTGATTTTCATGAGTCTGGCGAAGATTTATAGAGAAATCTTCGTAAGGAAAGAAGAAGAACACTGAAGATTGCAGTGCAAAATTAGGAACTGATTTAACAAGGAGAGAAAAATATCTGACAGGAATTTCCAAAATCAACAAAAATACAATACAAGCAAGTATTTATACTAAGCTAAGGGACTCTAATCCACATCATCTACTTGTCCAACTCAGCAAATAAGAGAAAACAAAGATAATGAATTTATCTACTAACATCCCCCCCTCAAGTTGGAGGGTGAGCCAACCCTCAACTTGGGCAAGATCCGATGATGTATAGGTCCTGGCAAGCTTTTGGTGAACATGTCAGCGAGTTGAGCATGAGCCAACCCTCTTGTAGCTTCTCACGAACGAAATGCTCGTTAGTCTTTACTTATTTATTATATATGGTTTTCCTTTTTTTTTTCTCGTTTTCGTCCCGCACAAATGGACCGTATATTAAAATGATTAGCAAATATCAACGATTTATATCTTTTAGCAGATGAGCACTAAAAGTATAGATGTTTTTTCTGTGCTTTTAAGAATAGAAAGATATAACAATTAGCTCTTTAAAAACAAATAGCTCTTTAAAAGCTAATTAGCATTGTGTGTAGCATTTCACATTCTTTTTTTGGCATTAGTGCATTACATGTTGACATACTTTGACATTATAAGTAAATTTTTCAAAATTCACAATGGGAGCTATTTGGCCTTAATTTTATTATTTTATCATTATCCAAAATTAAAAGGGATCCCTCCTTTCCTCTGCTAGAAGAAGCCTAGAATAGTAAAATGGCTGTTCCCTGGAACGTGGCTGAAATTCCTGGCCGGAATCTTAATTTGCCGGTGACGCGGGGCGCGTTTCCCGTTCATCCCTCCCGAGCATCCTTGAGCCGGGTGCGTTGTACGCCGGTTCCGCAGCAGGTAAGCAATATTATCCTCTCTCTCTCTCCTTTTTCTTCATCTAAAAGGAGAGAAATGGAATTGATGTAGCAATTGGACCTGCCCGCGTTAAGATTTAAGCTTTGCTTGCTTGAGTGTAAATTCTTAAATGGGTTCAGATTTTAAAATTTTTTATTTTGTTTTACTATTGTGTTCTGATTTCCCATATAGGCTCTCTTTGATTAGGAAAATAATTGATTTTTGAACTGATTCAGGATTATGGAAAATTTGTTCTTGCAGAAGAATATTTTCCACTTGCTATATGAAATGGGTTAAGGAAAAATGTACTTTTGGTCCTCAGATATTGCAAAACAGCACTTTAGTACCTTAGCTTTCAAGTGCAACATTTTCATGTCTCCAGCTCTTAAGTGATGTTGTGAGTTTAGTCTTTTGTAGCTTTAATACCATAAAATCAAAAGTGGGATATTCCTAAGATTATTGGTAGAGTATAAAAACCTTTCGTGGGCTGACAACTCAAAGCTTGAGCTTTTGGTTGAGTTGGTTACTTGATATGGTATCAGAGTCTTGCTTGAGTTGGGTTTTGAGAGTGGTGCAGTAGAACTCTAAAGGTCATTGCAAGGATAACTTAGGTCAACAGGTATTATGACAAAATCGACATCTTGCTTGCAATGTTGTAACAAGCGTTAGGTTTGAAACGGGTGGTACACTGGAGTCTAATTGTGGATTAATCAGGTTTAGACGAGATTTGACTATAACTAAGCAGGTCTAAGTGCTTTATTAGGTTGAGAATGTATGAACAGATCGAACATTCTAATAGACTTATTTGTGTTATAAAAAAAGGTCCACGTGGAAAAACAGAGATGATAGATGTGGGCAATTGCAGTCTATAATATAGCGCGTAGTTACGAATTATCAAGGCTACACGGGAGATTTTAAGATTAATGTTGGCATATCAAAGGAAACCCATCTCTCATTGAGGCTTCTTGAAATAGGTAACGTCAATAGCATGATCCACATAAAAGAATTCTCTAATGATTTTATGTTTTCGTCTTGATACCATGCACTTCTCATGCTCATATGCATCTCTTTTTATCCGAGTATCTTCACATTGTTAGAGTATGTAACTTTTTCTAGGTCTACAACGACAAGCTTGAGTTTTTGGTTGAGTTGGTTCCTTAACATGGTGTTCGAGGCTTCTTGACCCAGTCTTAAAACATTAATGTTTACATGCAAGGCTCAAGGAAAAACGAATCTTGCCTAAGGGGGCGTGTTAGAGTATTTAACTATTCCTGGGCCTACAACCATAAGTTTGAGGTTTTGGTTGAATTGGTTCTTTAACACAGCCGTTTCTTTTCCACATTGCAGATTGATTCAGGGATATTATGTGAGCCTTGTGGTGGCAAAGGATGGCTGCTTTGCGATTTTTGCAAAGGGCAAAAGACCAATGTACAATCTGCAACTACAAAGATATACCGTCGTTGTCCTTCTTGCAGGGCTGTAAGTTGCTTCATTAAGCGCTGCTAATCCTTATGTTGTGAATGGAATTTGAACAAAAGAAAACTACTATTTTCCATTCTGTCTATGTTTTTTTAAATAAATAACATCAATTTAGTTGAACTAACAAATACATTCAAAATAGCTATATAGTTGTGCCTTGGTGGTACAATATTCTTTTTATGGGGGCAGATGGAATAATAGTTTTCCTCTCCTTTCTCGTTTTATGCTCTAATACACCCTCTCACGTACAAACAAGATTTGTTTTTTGTTCGAGTCTTGCACGTGAAAATTAATGTTTTTTGAATTGGGTGACGGTGAGTTTTGAACTCTTAAGCTCTTGGTCAACAAGGTTTTGAAACTATGTTAAGGAACCAACTCAACCACAAACAAAGCATTGTGATGGTTCCTACTAATGTTTACACAATGTGATTTCTGTTGAGGGCACTAATATCAAGGCACCAATTCAACCATGAGCTCAAGCTTATGGTTGTAGGCCCAAAATAATTGTATACTTTAACAAAAAAAATTCTCCTTACTCCTGATGGAGTTGTATAGTGTATAGTATCATGCTTTTAAGAAACTAATAAAAACAAGAGTTAATTCTATAATTGATCTTTTGAAACGGAGGATTTTTCATATTAATCCTCTATTACCAAATATTACGTTCGTGATCCTTTGTTCTTGGTTACCCTTCCACTAATAATCCTTTGTTTGACCTCATGTCTTGTTAGTGTTCAGTTGAATGCTAAAAATGTAATTTTACATGATTATAATGTTTACTGTGTGCAGATCGGATATGTTGTGTGTTTGAAATGCAAAGTTTTCAAGTGTGTCACATACCCAAATGCTTATGATGATGCGAAGTAGAGTTTGTAATCGCATTTTGATGTGGGAACTAACATTCTTTTTAAATGTTACTAGTATTTGTATACCATTTTTAACACCGCATTTGACATCATTCTTCTTAATTGAGATCACAGACATTCGATAATTTTCACGGTCTAAAAATGTTTGTAAGAAAAGTGGTGTCAAATGTGGTTTAAAATGTTTGTAAGAAAAGTGGTGTCAAATATGGTGTAGTCCAAACATGGTTGATTTTTTTTAGCTTAAGAAATCACTGTCAACAAATATGGAGTATAACTTATCAAGACATATCATTTTACTTGCGAAAACTTACAACATATAAAGTGGAGCAATATGGAGTAACTCTTAAGAAAAGAAATACTCCGTATCTTTTTATAGCAAGTTATAGTAAGTTGTAATATCTTATTTTAAGTGTGATATCTTATTTGGAACCTGTTAGTTGCGTAGTTGACAAAAGTCAAGGAATGCTAAGAGGATAGATCCGAGTTCGATTTCTGGCAACTGCGTTGGGTGGCAATTACGCTATGTATATGGTCTCTACAAGTCCCAAGTGCCAGCTCTACTTTTTTGCCACCAAATTACGATTAAAGTCCAATTTACTTCTTCTCTGTGTGGCCGAGTCTGAGAAGGTTATCGAGGATGTGGCTCATCCTTTTTTTGAAACATCAATCCTTTACTAATACAGGAGAAATGTTGACCATTTTTTCTCACTTATGACTTTGCTTTATAAATGGTAAGTGTGCGTAAATAAATACGGTGTCATAAATAAAGGATTAATCCCTCATACGCGTAAACGATAATATCACCTTTCACTATGATGCATAATATTTCAACTTTACTGAAATTTGCAAGTTTTGAGTCACTATCAAATTACTAATGGCGGTTAATGGCAATGACTTGTTTTGCGCAACAAAGTGAAAGTTGGAATTCTTTATGATGATTTTTTGGTTTTTTGAAATTTTCATTTAAAATTTTAAAACTACATTCTACCTCCATCATTTTTTAAGATTAGTCTTACTTTAAAAAATAAAAATAATAGATATAAAAATCAATACATTAGAAGGTTATCTTGTTGTTATTATTATTATTATTGTTGTTGTTGTTGTTGTTGTTACCATATAAGCATGTGCAAGTAACCGTTGTTAATTGATCAAATAGAAGACAAATTACCAAATTAGAAGACAGATTTTTTTATCGTAGATTCCATCGCAATTTGCGACGGAAATAACATCCCGTTGCAAATAAGGGATGTGGTAATTCTGTCGCCGAGGCCGTCGCAAATCTTTGACGGTACCATTATTCCGTCGCAAACTTCAAAAATGCGACAATTATTTTGCGACAGATTTAGTCCGTCGCAAGACCGTCGCAAATTGTTAATCTGCGACCAAAATGGAGTGTTTGCGACAGAAAGTTTCTGTCACAGATTTAGCGAAATCTTGTAGTCTTATATATATATTTTATATTCTTCCAACCAAAATCAGGTATAATTATCTTCTACATTTGTCATTATTATTACACTTATTATCATGTTTATTATTATTTTTATTATTCTTATCATTATTACATTTATTATTATTATTATTATGATATACACATGTATTTTTGTATTCTTTCAACAAAAATAAGCCATAATAAATTTAGCTTATTAATAAAACTAAAATTTTTTATTAAAGAAATGAAAACTTTTTATTAAAAAATACTTTGACTTCTTTTGGGAAATGTATCAATAAACCTTGTCAGCCCTTTCATAATAATAAGTATAATTTTGGGACACACTATAATTAATGACGTCTCTCTTTTTTTAATTTATAATTTTATCAGAACAAACCTAGTCCTTTAACAAATGAAAACTTTTCAGTAATGGTGTCTATTTTACGTAAAATTTCTAAAAGCTATTAAAACCTTTCCATAATTAAATTGACATTATATAAAAGATATACGGAGTATTGGGCAATAGTGTAAAAAAGTTTCCTAAAAATAAACGTTATTTCAAAACTATTTCCATTCTTACCTTTTTTAGCTTAGTATTTTTATTGCTATTTCAACGTAATACATGCCTAACAAAAATAATATATTTATATAAAAATATTCAACCGTTTAATAATTATAAATTATTAAACACGTGAGTATTCTATTTTAATATTATTAAACACTGAAACTTGATATATTATTAAATATTCCATAATAAAATACGTCATATGCACAATTATTATTAATCATTGCACATGTAAACATTACTCTGTATTAATTATTAAGCACAATTATACATGAAAACGTTCCAAAGATGAATAATGGCCGTGGATCAAGATTCTGACGCTAATAGATGGTTCACAACGTAGGTGCGTTTGGACGGGAAAAATTTCCCCTCCTTTTAAGATTAGTATAGATATTATTATTTCACAAGTGACAGTAAAATTAAAGCTGAAATTATTAGTTTTACACTTTTACATGTCTTTGGTAGTGTGTATAATTTAACAAAAAATATTGTATACCTCAACATATTTCAAAATACTCTAATTTAAATAAGACTTTAAAATGTTAAAATGTTAATTACATGTAGTAGAATTTCTATTAGCGAATTCTATATGTTCTATGTTATTTGATATTTGAAAATTTTTGCCTATGAAAAATAAAAAAAATGGAAAAAAAAAAGTGTCCCAGCCCATACATGGCATGGGTCAAAAGTCAAAACTTAAAATACTAATTTTACTTTAAAAAAAGATGCACTCCAAAATCTAAAATATTAATCCATATCCTATTCGAATTAGTTAGAATACCCGATCAAACGAGGGATCCTATCCCAACACCAAGATAAAACGAGGGAACCTATAGGCTATTTCCTGTTAGCAAACCAAATCAGCCGAGCTCTCGACCTTCTGGCAGAAGCCGCTGGGCCTAGTCGCCTGCCGCGAGTCCGCATTTTAGCCTCCGCCGCCTGCCGCCGTCCGCGCCAGCGCCACTCCAGGTCTCCGGAATCGGATCGCTATTTACGACGTCCAAGTGCTAGGTTAGTTTTTGTTTAAAACCTACTCTCTAAAATGGGACGGAGGGAGTAATTATTTTTATGCAGTTATCATATGAAGATTATTGATTTGTGCCGGATGATATGTAATTTTATATTTGTGATTTGTGAATTCTTTATTCACTTAGGGTAAGGTCTGCCTACACAGTACACACCCCAGACCCTATTCTTGGAGGCTGGATTTTTTTCGTTGTTGTTTAGAGTAGTTTTTTTTTATTAAATTGATGTAAATTAATAATTTTTTTGAATGATTTGAATTTAAATTTAGGATGCAATGGCATTTTAAAAAGAAACCAAGATTTTATGAGCTTGAATCAAGTGACAATTCACCAAACTCGAACAATAACATTTTGTCGTCTTTAAATAAACCGTTAAATCAACTAGAATCTTAGCTTTGGAATCACATCGTTTTTAAGTTCAAAATTCAAACTTTAAACTACCATTCTCTTTGAAAATATTTTTCCATCATCTCCGATGGAGCCAAAATTTCACCATTTTTTTGGCTTTGGGGTGTGATGGAATAAATCAAAATGGATCTCTAAACTATCTGCGCTTCTTTAATTAATGAAGCGCTTCTTTAATTAATGAAGTAGCAGTTAGTTAAGCAATGCAACTTTCGACGTTGAGCCGGGGGTCTCTTTGGAAACAGCCTCTCTACTTTCGAGTAGGGGCAAGGTCTACGTACACACACCCTCCCCAGACCCTACTCTTGTGGGATTTAACTGGGTTGTTGTTGTTGTTTGTTGTCTGTTTGAAAATATGTGCACACATTATAAGCCGTATTTTTTAGCAAGTAAATCTATAAAACATGAACGTGTCTATATATAATTAGTTGTATTTTGCAAATCTTATCTGTATTATACATGAACTTATAAATGTACGTATTATATTTGTATCTAAAAAAGCTAAAAGAGGTTGAGAGTTCACCTCTAGACGTCTACCCATTTACTGTGCTTGAGTATGTATGGTGCAGTCTGAGCATTGAAGAATGGCGGATACGCGGCTGGTTAAGTCAGCTAGGTACAAGTCAGCAGTCAAGGACCAAGGTGTCAATGGCATTTTGGAGATGGTACTTTCCCCCTATCCCTACAATCCTATTGTTCATTTCATTCCTTTTTTTTTTTTTTTGCAAACCTTAACAATCCAAATATTGAATTAAAATCTACGCAAACTAGGAAACCATACTAAGCAGATAATTTTGAAACAAATCAACAAATGCTTCATTTGTCCCACAGGCCTTTTCCATCTTTCCTTTTTTTGTCTGTCCTTAAAGAATGCTTTTGCAGTCAGCATTTTTCCTCTTCTTTTGAATAATCTCAAACACGCATTCTTATAATTTAATCTTCTTGTCAATAACACCTTGAATTTCTCAATAGGGAGGAGGAAGTAATAATGATATCATTATTTCTTGTGTAATGAATTGTTGAAACTTAAGACTAAACCTAGATTTTGGAAAAACATGAAACAGTTTGATGTTTATCAAATGCAATTGATCAACGATATTTTTGTGATGTACAGACCATGGAAAGGTTCATATTTACGCCTAATGACCCAATGTCATCAATCAAGCTCAATGTGGAGTTTAGGTTGATTACAGGTGCTTTTTCATCAATTCACTTGTATGATTTGAGTTAGTGCGATTACAATCGGTTTTAGTCGCTTGATTATATAGTAAGCAGATTCTTTTTTTATTTGATTTTGTGTATCATTTATTATTAGTTCACCCATTGTCCCCTTTTCTTTACGTGATAATTACTTCAATTGATTCTGCTTTTGTTGATCATATTATGATCCTTTCAAAGAGAAAATAGGTCGATATTCAACCATTTTGTTTCCTTATTCGCGTTTCTGATTTGCCACAACATTCTTAATGTGCTTCTTTCCTCAATTGAAATTTAGGCCAAAAGTTTACTAAACAGGGTATCACTATTAACCCGCCCTTGCTTAATCTTTCCCAGAATCAGGTTAGTGATGTCTAATGCGGCTTGGACAACTGGTCTGTAACACATTTTCATTTGGATGTGTAGTGATTATACATGTGTGTGTTTGTGTGTGTATCTTATCCGGTGGAACTTTGAATTGTTGAAAGGGTAAAAACTATATATTTGAGTTCGACGAATTCTCAGACCGTGATGCTTGCAGAGATTTCGTAGGTAAGTTTCCTTGGTTATATTTGTTTTGTTGGCATTCATAATGTTACTCCTTACTTGTTTGTTATGTGCAGCTTCAGCCATCATTTCGTAGGGTGCTCTCTTATTGTTTGATTCGGAATGCCGCACATACCTTTTCGTAGGGGGGAATAAGTCGCGACTCGCGACTGCACGTGCTGGAAAGTCAAAACAATAATAAGTGTAATAATCTTTGAAGTTATATAAAGAGGCGTCTTTTTATAGCAAGTTATAGTAAGTTGTCATATCTTATTTACGTGTGATATCTTATTTTGGAACACAACTCATAATTAAATATGGTGAGTTTGGGTGTTCAAAGGGGTGAGCTCTGCATTGACCATTGGTGACTTTTGCAGTGTAATGTCTCATCGAAGCATATCTTCTTACGATAAGGTGTCGTGTCTTCTTGCCGATGCAGGATTTGAACCTACATTTACATATCGCTCTACTATTTGAACTAATAGAAAATAATTTATTTTTTCAAAGAGATCAGGACCTATTAAATACATATTTAAATCTTTTAAAATTTGAATTATTCATTGTGTTTCTAATCTATATTCTAACGTATCACAGATCATATTAAATGCATCATCGTTTGCAAAATTTTATGATCTAGAATATACATATGCACCATATTTGTTTTAGGAGAATGTTATACCACAATTCTGATAATGTAGAATAACATAAAAAAGCAAACAAAAAAAGAAGAAGAAAGACAATAAACAAGCATCAATGTACCCTCCAATAAGCACCAAATTGGCAAATTGTCTAGTAGCTTTGTCAACGCCAACAATTTCAAATAGTATCCTTTTATTCTTAAAAGGAGGCGAACTTTTCACCAATAGTGTTCTCGCCCATGTGTAAACATTTATGAACCGTTGATGTTGGACGATTAGAATGATCAACAGCTGTAGATTATACCATTTAATGTTCATATTGTTTAAGAAAGCAACGTATTGCACAATTAATTTTCGTATTTGGAAAGAATTGCAATGAAAAGAAAATTAATTGCGAAATATGGAAAGGTTTTTGTTGAACAATGTTATTTTTTAGAATATGTGTGCATTAAATAAAGAGTTTTAAATGAGGGAAACAATAACTATAAAAAAACAATAACTATCCAAAAATAATGTGAGCATTGAAGTACGTTGTAATACAAAGCTAAATCACTCCATGAATGGACAGTAATTAAACATTAAACGGCATAAGAACATGTATTTTAAAATCCATGTGTAATTAATAGTGAAAATGAGTAAGAGGAAAGATTTATTAGAAATTATGAAGCGGAGAAATGTAACAATGTTGTCGCCATTGAATGAAGTAAATGATGGCATTGGGCCATTCATGGTCCAAGTTCGTGCTGCAAGAGTTTACCGAACATCAGTACATGATCGAACCCCCCAATCGCTTGAAGTTATTTTCCATGATGACAAGGTATGCTACTTCTTTATTTGAATTCTTCAATTGCATTTAAAAAATTTTATATTGACGTGAAGCTCTAATGTTATCGTTAAACAGGGAAATTGTAATAATGCAAACATAAGACCTACCAACATTGAGAAATTTGAACATGATCTCGAGGAAGATGATGTTTATGGTTTAACGATATTCAAAGTTAACGAAATAAACAGAATACAAAAACAACAAACCATCAATTTAGTATTATTTTTTGGGAAATACGAAACTTCACAAATTGAGTCCAAAAGGATTCCCGAAATTGAAATACAAATTCATGTCATTTGAAGATGTCCAACTATTGCCATTGACAGATGATATCCTTTTGATTGGCGAGAATATTAATTTCTCACCATTTTAATGTTTATTTTGAATTTTATTTTAATTTACCCTTCCAGCTTCCAGAAGATCGCAATGCCAGAGGTGTTTGTGAAAGAATGATGGAGGTTGTATTGGAAGACCAGAGGTATACATTTACAGTAACTCACGAAATACATATACGAAATCCGTTTAATAAATACTTTAGTCAACTAACGTTCATGTTCTTATTCTGTTAAGAGGAAATCGTCTAAATTGCACTTTGTGGGCTAGCTCATCATAGTGATAAAGTCGTTGAAGACCTAAATGAAGGATTGGAAGCAATTGGGTAGACCGAGGCGGTATGATGGTATGTTTGTAACGCTAAATTCGTACAACAAAATAAAATAGAATATCGAGAGTATAAATAACTTCTTCTAATGCATTAATAAATTTTCAGGGAAAGTCTATGTTGCTACTTTTTAGAATGCAACCAAAGTTATCGTGAATGATGACAGAGATGAAGTAAAACAATTCGAGGAGTAAGTTAATATTCTTTTTTAAAAAAAAGATTATTGTTTTAAGTCGTGTGATAAAAAATATATTTCATTGGATGATTTAGGTTGTTGATGAGCGGGGGGATAGTTTGTCACAAAATTGCAATGTTATATCTACACAATCTGGATCCAAAAGGAATCATCCTACACGTATATTTCACCCATTTTCATTCATGATCTCAAAGCTACAAAAACTGTAAGGCAAATTATGAATTTGAATAAATTTATGGTATGTTTGGAAACATGAATTTGGATTTCAAATCCGGATTTGGCTTAAATTCCATGTTTGGGAAACTTAAGCATTTTGAATTTGGATTTGAATCAAATTCTTTACATTCAAAACAAAGCTTGATTTGAAATCCATGCACCTCCCCTTGTCATTTGAAATTCAGAATTTCAAATTTTGGAATTGAAATGCATCAATTGAAATGAAATGCTACTTTCCAAACACTACCTTATCGTATTTCAAATTGTTATCATTAAAAAAATATGAAATATTTATGGAGAGGATCTGATTCAAAAAACTTTGCTTATATAAATTGCCCATTTAAAAAAAATTTAAACAATGAAAACTGCAGTATAATTTTACGAACATAGTAACAGACGAATTGATTTCTTTGAAAATGAATCGGGGGATAAAAATACGATCTTAAGCTATTGCTTAAAATTGAATTGGGGGATATTTATTTGATGTAGGCGTTCCAAATAAATATTTGATAGTTTTATAGCAACTTTATAGGAATGATGGGAACACCAATTCTTTGTGATCAGATGTTGTTGAAAAATTAAAGAAAATGTTGGATGACCATAATGTCTTGGTTAAATCTTTTCGAATGGTTTGAGATAAAATGGTGGACACAAGACACAAATATTTGCTTGAGATTGATATACAAACGAACTTTAGATGCAAGAAGATATAATTTGCCTACGGTTTAAGAGGTGACTGCTTTGGTCGTAGGTGATTTTGATCGCTCTCTTGGCAAACAAGGTATATTGGTGGAGACTCAAGGTGGTTCGATTCAGATTAAAAATGAGTTGAATCCAGCAAATTTAGGGTTACAATATCCATTGTTATTCTTGTATGGTGACGATGGTTTCAGGATGATATTCCTCTCTCAAGTTCAACAGATGTGGATGGCGATGGATGTAAATTGAAGTGATTATAATTTCAATAAAATATCATTATATATATATATATATATATATATATATATATATATATATATATATATATATAATATGTTTGATCCACTGGTTCAACTACCTGAACCATTAGTTCGAATATTAGGTGAATAACTATTTTTCAAATATTAGGTGAATAACTTTGTCACCCCCTATGATTTTGGTAAAGGGCACCAACGCCCTCTACTTTTTCTTTATTGTTTTTTTCTTTTTCTTTTATTTGCTTCATAAAGAGAAGAAAAATATTGTGTGTGAAACAATAAAAAATTGTTTTTTCAAACCTACAATTTTTAAAAATTTTTAAAAAATAAAAAATGTTTGTGTCTTAAATAAGAAATTTAACATATACTTTATTTGTCAAATTAAATATTTTTGTTTTTTTTATAAAAAAGTTTTTAAGTTTTTGAATATGTCAGGATCAAAAAAATACTGAGTAACATCTTTATAGTTAATTACGGAGTACATATGTACATTTATGTCTGTACATTTATGAAAAGACCAGCGTTGATGTCCAACAAAACAATACTCCGTATTATACAGATTATTCGGCAAGAATATTTCCGAACAACAAGAGAAAACGAGGGAACCTATCGGCTATTTCGGGTATTTCCCTTCTCAAACCAAATCAGCCGTGCTCTCGAACTGTTTAAGAAAACCGACCTTCGGGCAGAAGCCGCTGGGCCTAGTCGCCTGCCGCGAGTCCGCATTTTAGCCTCCGCCAGCCGCCGTCCGCGCCAGCGCCACTCCAGGTCTCCGGAATCGATTCGCGACTGGCGACTTCCAAGTGCTAGGTTAGTTTTTTTTCTAAAACCTAATTATTTATATACAGGTATCATATGATGATTATTGATTTGTGCCGGATGATATGTTCGTGTAATTTTAAATTTGTGATTTCTTAATTTTTTATTCACTTAGGGTAAGGTCTGCCTACACAGTACACACCCCAGACTCTATTCTCGGAGGATCGAACTTAATTTTTTTTTGAATGATTTGAATTTAAACTAAGGATGCAATGGTATTTTAAAAAGACACCAAGATTTTATGAGCTTGAATCAAGTGACAATTCACCAAACTTGGACAAGAATGTTTCATCGTCTTTAAATCAACCGTTAAATCAACTAGATTCTTAGTGTTGGTCGTTTTTTTAGATTCTTCATTATGGTGTATTTTTATATATATATTTGTGTTTAGTGGCTATTGGATTCACATTGCTTTTAAGTTCAAAATTTAAACTTTAAACTACCTTTCTCGTTGAAAATATGTGCACACATTATAAGCTGTATTTTTAATTAGTAAATCTATAAAACATGAACGTGTCTGTATATAATTAGTTGTATTTTACAAATCCTATCCGTATTATACATGAACTTATAAATGTACGTATTATATTTGTATCTAAAAAGCTAAAAGAGGTTGAGAGTTGAGACTTCACCTCTAGAGGTCTACCCATGCACACTGTTAGGATGGGCCCCTAGACCCATGCACACTGTTTCTCGGACTGGTTTGATCCTGGTTAGGACTCCGAAAGCTTCATCTATTCATCTTCACAGCTGTTCATTGCTGCCTCCCTCCACCGTAGGTGTCACCCATCCCACATTATTCCCACTATTTCATTCTTTCCAAGCGATCATTTGTAGGCATTAGGTATGGAATGGTTTTTGTTTACATTTTTCCACTGTTGGGTAAACAATGTAGTTGCTCTATAATATTTTCTATGTCGGTAAATCAAAATCTCACTCAAAACCTCTCCAATTGCTGAGATAAAGTCATTTAGGAAATCCCTCCTTTAAATTTCTATCCAATATTTCTAATCAGAGGTGATAAAGATTTTGATCATTGTTTTTCTCCATTTTAGATATCCACTCTTTATCTTTGTTTATGATTAAATTACTTACTTATCCCTTGCAAACCAAACAATTCAGGGTTTTTCTGGTTTCATTTTCTCTCCCCTCCATTTACTTTCCCCTCCATTTACTGTGCTTGAGTATGTATGGTGCAGTCTGAGCATTGAAGAATGGCGGGTAGGCGGGTGGTTAAGTCAGCTAGGTACAAGTTAGCAGTCAAGGGCCAAGGTGTCGATGGCATTTTGGAAATGGTACTTTCCTCCTATCCCTACAATCCTCGAAATTTCCCAATGGGGGGCAGGAAGCTATAATGATGATTATTTCTTGTCTACTGATTTTTTTAACCTTAAGATTAAATCTAGATTTTGGAAAAACATGAAGCAGTTTGGTGTTTATTATTGAGAAGTTATTTTTGCAATGGTACAATTTTCTCAAATCTCAAATGTAATTGATCAACGATCTTTTTGTGATGTACAGACCATGGAAAGGTTCATATTTAAGCCTAATGACCCAATGTCATCAGCAAAGCTCAATGTGGAGTTTAGGTTGATTACAGGTGCTTTTTCATCAATTCACTTCTATGATTTGAGTCAGTGCGANTTTTAACCTTAAGATTAAATCTAGATTTTGGAAAAACATGAAGCAGTTTGGTGTTTATTATTGAGAAGTTATTTTTGCAATGGTACAATTTTCTCAAATCTCAAATGTAATTGATCAACGATCTTTTTGTGATGTACAGACCATGGAAAGGTTCATATTTAAGCCTAATGACCCAATGTCATCAGCAAAGCTCAATGTGGAGTTTAGGTTGATTACAGGTGCTTTTTCATCAATTCACTTCTATGATTTGAGTCAGTGCGATTGCAATCGGTTTTAGTCGCTTGATTACATAGTAAGCAGATTCTTGTTTTTTTGGTTTTGTGTATCAATTATTATTAGTTCACCCCATGTCCCCTTTTCTTTACGTGATAATTACTTTAATTGTTGCTGTTTTTGTTGATCATATTACGATCCTTTCAAAGAGAAAATAGGTCGATATTCAATCGTTTTGTTCACTTATTTGCGTTTCTGATTTGCCACAATTTTCTTAATGTGCTTCTTTCCTCAATTGAAATTTAGGCCACAGGTTTACTAAAGAGGGTTCCTCTATTAACCCGCCCTTGCTTAATCTTTTCCGGCATCAGGTTAGTGATGTCTAATGCGGCTTGGACAACTGGTCTGTAACACATTTTCATTTGGATGTGTAATGATTATACATGTGTGTGTATATGTGTATGTGTGTGTGTTTGTATCTTATTCTGTAGAATTTTGAATTGTTGAAAGGGTAAAAACTATATATTTGAGTTCGACGAATTCTCAGACCGTGATGCTTGCAGAGATTTTGCAGGTAAGTCATCTTGGTTATATTTGTTTTGTTGGCATTCACAATATTACTCCTTGCTTGTTTGTTATGAACAGCTTCAGCCATTGCATCTTGTGGACATTCTGGGATAACCACCCCTACACCTGCTGTGGAAAGTTCTGCAGCTCCAAATAATGAGCAACTCAGTGAATCTGAAATGGAACGTCGAGTTAAACTTCTGGAGGATAGGTAATCCTATTTTTCTGTTGGTGATGCAACCGTTTAGACTTTTTAACTGGCTTTATATACTGCAAGTCATTAGTGTTAATAATAGTGAGCGTGAGAGAACCATGTCAAAGGAACTTGGCAAAACGACCATGTAACTTTGGGAGAACGGGTGTGCTCTTATTGTTTGATTAGGAACGCCGCACATACCAAGGGGGCAATGAGTAGAGACTGCTTATTAAAACAACGGGCTCTGCTAAGTGGTAGCATGATGTATAGAGTATGACACCTGCCGGTGCTGGAAAGTCAAAAATAAATGCTATAATCTTTGAATGGAAATCCTAGCAAATGGCGGCAGCAGGTCCAAGATTTGTTGCCAACCTCTTGCTTGTTTATGGTTCATATAACCAAGGTTGTTAAGGCGCCAAGGCAAGGCGCCGATGTACCTTCATATCGCTTAGGCGACATATATATATATGTGTGTGTGTGTCTGTGTATATATGATTATACAGATCTAAATATGTAATTAAAGTCTACACAATCTGAGACAAACAATTAAATGTTCACAAGCATTTAAAAGACCTCAAATAACAACATAATTCAAATAAAAGTTCATCTCCATTCTACTAGTTTACTCACCCAAACATGTAAGTTTAAAAAATTATCCTGAAACATGTCATTCATATGGATATCAATAATAATATCTATATCCATAGCCTCATCATGGACACTAGATAAGTCAACACCATTGTCATCTTCAAGATACTCATCATCATTTAGACCCAAGAGATAAGACAACGTAAAGTCAAAACAATTTTAATATTTGGCTTTCAAAATATATAAAATGCCCTGGACTAGGTGCCTAGGCCTGATGCGAGGGTAAGGCGACGCCGAGGCAAGCGCTTTAATGCCTCAAGGGTTTCTGCGCGAGGCGGATAAATAAGTTGTCCATGGCATAGTGCCATATTGCCTAGGCGGCACCTTAACAACTATGCATATAACTAATAAATTCTAAGTAAAATGAATTGAAATAAAATGAAATGGAGCAAGGGAAATCCTGACAAATGGCGTAATTTTTATTTTGGGACATCCCCTAAACGAAAGTGTGAACTTCATTTTGGGATGGAGGGAGAAATTTAACAATGTATTTGTGAGGTATATTAATGGTTAAAGTTTGACACAATTTTCATAAGGCTATTCTTTTTATGGGGATGAAACACCAAGATATCTAGTGTATTCGTACAAGTGGGGTCAAGGAAGGGTAAGATGTATACATAACTTACCTCTGCACGTAAAGGATGGTGAATTGTTTGAGAGACCCTCAGTTTAAAAGGAATAAACTCAGAGTGAGTTAGCAAAATATTAGCTAATAAAACACGCAAGCAGCATAACAAGGTGCAAGCAGCAAAAGTACGTGGCATGACCAAGCCATGAAAGAGAACAAGTCTATGCAAACCATAAGATCACTAAACACTAGAAAATTAGATGGAAGGGCTAGCCCCAACCTCTTAGAGATACAAAGGGTAAGCAATCTATTACACTTGTTTCCTAATTCTAGATTGCTAATACTTTCTATCTAAGGTCATCTCCTCCGTTAGCTTGAGTTTATGACTGCGACCTATTTAATAACCTCCCTAAGTTCTTTTTCGGCCTACCTCTACCTCTTCTAACTCCTACATTGCCAAACTCTCACACCTCCTAAGTTGTTAGTTCTCACCCATCTTCTTCACATGGTCGAGCCATCGTAATCTCGCCTCATTTTACCCACCATGGTGCGAATGGACCTGTACTAATGTTAGTTTATGTTGTGTGTGTGTGTGTGCACTAAAATATTAAAATGTGTTACTTCCTCCATCTCAAAAAATATTCAAAGTTGTTGATTAAATCCCCCCCCCCAAAGTCTTATTTGAGAAAAGTACGCTAATTCTCATTCTGTTGAATAACTTTTAATAAATAAATGTTGACAAATAAGTTAAATACTCCCTCCGTCCAACAATAAACTTCCCAGTTACTCTTATGGCATCTCGATAGTTTGTGTTTGTTTGCATATTTTCATCAATCATTTAATAAGATAAAATATTGTCGTCACATCTTATTTTGTAGAATTTTTATGTAGCATTGAACAATGTAATTTTTACTTTTTTATGATATACCGATTTGTAAATAAAGTAATTTTTAAAAAGATGGGATTTTACACGTCCAAAATAGGAAGCTTATTGTTGGACGGAGGGAGTATTTAAAATTTAGATAAACCAATAAAAAAAATTAATAATATAGCTAGAACCAATCACTCCTTTCAAGATGTACTCCATGCTAAACACGAATTATATGAGACCAGATTGACCAAATCACTCGTTTCAAAATAATGTATTGACTATTGACTGGCATTATCATTATCAAGTGATAAATTGGCCCTATTTCCACAATTGGTTCTACCTTTATGAGTTTCTTGAAATCAAATTCTGGATTTTGTTTTAGAAAGCATCCGGTAGACAATTATTTTGTACTAAGCAGCCTGAACCTTAGCAGTTTTCTACAATTAATGTACTGCAATAAGTTTATCATAGCGATGGAGGCACTATATTAAGGCAATTGTTTTTCTAGAAATACATTTTGAAAAAAGTCATTTTTCAAAAATCATCTCTTTTGTGCTGCTTTCCTTATAGTAGATAACATTTTTTTTGCTCATTTTTTATAAAACAATAATTAATTTGTTTTTTAGAAAAAATTGTTACTGATGATAAAAATAAGTAAATAATAAGAAAATAACTAAATATCAGATAGATACATGGATAAAGTAACAATAAATAATTAACTTAAAACAAGACATTTAGATCATACAAGCGCGAAGCGTAGTAAAAAAAATATAACCAAGTTGCCAACCAAATAAAAACAAACAATTTCAAGCTATGTTATATTCCTATACCTAGGGGCCGAATTAAACTTGATGTCAATGATTTCAATTGAAAGCGGTTGTACAGAAACTGCTTTACGTATTTACTTGATATCCTTTTTTTAGTATATGAGAAGTATGTAGTTTGAGTGTAATTTCTACTGATTGTTCAAATGTTCAATGTCCTGTTTATGGAAGGGTTTGACTCTCAGTCTGAATTCCATGATTAGTCTTGATCTTTCTTGAATGGCAGTGAATTGAGGAGACTTCACAAGGAGTTAGTTATTGGGGGCACTTTGTCAGATGGTGAATTTTGGGCGGCAAGGAAGGTCAGAAACTGGATGAGAATATTCTTTTCTCACGATATGTAGTATGACTCTAATATTATGTCTATTAGAGCATTGAGCCATCAATTTATTCTAATAAAATGTTAATCTTGAGTGCAGAAATTACTAGATCAGAGCAATGCTAAGAGGTCAAATCAACAAGTAGCTTTGAAAAATCACATTTGGCATAAAAAACTTACTACTGATTGTCAGGTACAACTGCATCCTCACTCTTTCTTCCCAACATCCGAAGAAAGAGTGGGGGATCATACTCTGGGAGTCTGGGTGTCTACTCTTTTTAACGTACTCTGTTCTTTCTTTCAGCGGGTTGATTTCTTCTATTCTGTTTTCCATACATATAAGCTTATAATTAATCAAATCTACTTGGTATTAAACATTGCCGCATTTTACTCTGTTTTAGGTCTTTCTTTCTTATACTATATTACTATTAATGCGAAAAGATATTTTATTATATTTGGCTAAGATCTTGTTATCTTTACTCTTTATGTCTACACTATCATATTCTTGTGCATAGCGTGACACTAATTTTTTTTCTTTCAATCCAGCCTAATAAGATTACTTTTAACTTGACACCGGAGATCATTCTTCAGGTATACATGTTTCCTTTTTTACTTTTCGAACTTGACACCGCAGCCATAGCTGTCTCTTTTATTTTTCAGTGTATGACACTTTAATATTACGAAAACAGTAAACCAAAACTTATATAGTATGTTCTTTGTGTAATACAATAAATTGTCTCACAAGAATGTGGTATAGTATTTATTCTAGGATTGTTTTATTTTCTTTTTAATATGTGTGAATGAATAAGTTTGCTATAGCATTGGCTCCTAGCTGCTAGGGTGCTAGCACACATCACCTTTAAATTTCAAATGCAAAATTATCCTTAATTTTCATGTTTCATTGCATCTTCTCTGATTGATGTATAGTGGATGCAGTACTCAATGGTTAAGTTGAAATGTAGATTCTCAAATCTTGTGATATTCTTAGTATTAATTTCCATGTTGTCTTCTAGTTGCTTGCTTGAATTATGTATATAGTTTTGCCAATATGCTCTCAAATATCTCATTCATTGCAAAAGAACCTTACTAGAGTTAATGCTATGTCACACTGACTTTTTGAATGTAAATCCTCTTCAGATTTTCACTGAGAAACCAGCTGTTCGTCAGGCATATCTTAAATTTGTACCAAAGAAGGTAGGAAAGTTATAAGTAGTCCCTCAGCCCACAATGAATTTATTGAAACTATGTATCTTTTTTAAACAAATTCTAACTATCCACTTTTCACCTTTCACCATTTTCTTAAACCTCGTGAATTCATAGTGCAAACTCTTTTATGGAACAGGGGAAGTATGTTGCTGCACTAGTGCTGTGATGTCACTATTAAGACAAAATATTGTTTGATCTTTTTCCTTATCTTTACCATGCATTCTAGATGACAGACAAGGAATTTTGGACCAAATATTCAAGAGCTGAATATCTCCAAGGCATGAAAAATGCTTTTGCAGCTGCAGCCGCCATGGCAGCTGAAGATGAGGAGCTTGCTGTATTTTTGAAAAAAGATGAAATTTTGGCAAATGAAGCTAGGAAGAAGGTGCTTCACTGATGATATGAATTTTCATGTTTTTTGAGTGAATCTCTTTTCCTTGGACACCTCCTTGAGCTTCTAATGGGCGTAGCAAAATTTGACTCTGCATGAAGAATAAAAAAATAAAAGATATTTGTTTAGAAGAGAGAAACATTATTAATCATGTCTTTGCTTAAAAGAAAATTGGCCAAGTTTTTGTGGATGGACTAAAAGGAAAGCTTGCAAGTATTTTGAGGTGGACTAAAATGCAAAGTTGGCAAGTTGTTTGGGACAAAGGGAGTAGTGAAATACTTTGTATTTAATTTGTGCTACAATATACCAATATGATGCTCACATTCAAACACCCTTTTTGTGTTTTGAAAATTCATCAATATGTCCACAATCATATTCTTTCAGATTAAACGAGTGGATCCAACACTGGACATGGAAGCAGATGAAGGCGATGATTACATACATCTACCAGTATGCCAGTGAAACTTTGCTCTATATTTTAATTGAATACACCTTTCAATAAATGGCCCTATTCTTACACTAGTTGATCTTCCAATTCAATTCTCTCCATTTCTTTTGAGTAGCCTTGTATTTTCAATAAATACCAGAGAACGGCAATATTTATTATTTTATTTTAGTGGAGCATGAGCGTGCTCCAGGTGACTATTATATTTTCTGTTTTCACTTCTTCACTCACTTCAAGATAAGCTATTTCTTATTATAGGATCATGGGCTGCCACGTACTGATACTAAAGAGACTGATGACTTACAAACTGATCCATACAGAAGGTCATTTGGACAAGAGCTCAATCGGCATGCAGCCGTGGTGCTTCAAGGCAGAACCATAAGTTAGTCTTTTTAACCTATTACAAATATTGCAGTCTACGATATTTGGTTTGGAAATGAGTATCAAGCTAATGGAGAAACATTTTTTTATTTGAACAAATGGTGGCATTCATACACTTAATGAGTTTTAAAGAGCACTGGTACATAGCTCCTATTGACAGTATTTCAGGGGTTGAGATCGAACCTCTGTTACTAATGTAGGAACAAACGTAAAAGAGGAAGATATTGATCCTTCACTGCCCTTTGCTGGAAGACGGGAAAGTAGTCTGTGACTAGCTTCTCATTATTAGAGTTTTGACTTAAAAACACTGATTCTTTTATTAGCGAATGTGGGAGTATAAATAGGCAAAGCCTTACAAGAGACCTACCGTTGTCATACTATGAAATATGAATCCTCATTTAGAAATACTACCTCTGCCCTAGTGTATTCATCCAGTTTGACTTCCCAGAGGTAATGATACCCCTCATATCTGGTATAAGATAATGTAGCTGGAGTAGGAATGATGTGTGTTTTCTCTGATGCAGTGGCTTGGGCTACATTGCCAATAAGATTTTGTTAGACCACACACACACCTCTATGATGGGGGGGTGGGGGGGGGGG